TCAATGATTATCCTAATTATATTTTAGATTTTTTATATTTAAATGAGATGTTTATTCTCTATTTGATTATGTTTATCTGCAATTAGTTATACGAGTCCAAATATGTATATTTACGTAAAATTTACTTGTAACCATGAATTTTAAGTAATATGCATCAATAACAGTACTTCATGTATAAAAAACGGATTTTAAGAGTTTTTATCAAGTGTTTTATAATATTAATATAGATTACACCTGCATCGATTAAGGTAAGTTTGGAACTTAAATACTTGTTTTTGAAAAGATTTCTAAAAGTTAGGGTTAGAATTGCAAATATTATAAAATTGGAGGACTTCGTTTAAAGAGCGTATATTTATTTCAGTTGCAGGAAACAAATCGGATCGTTTTTTGGTCGTTGGGAAATTTGCCGCCAAAATTAACGGATTCTGAAATGAACAGTTGAAGATCGCCATAAAATGGCCACTGATTCTGTTATAATCACAGCTCTCTTTCTTTTTTTCTCAATCAGCTCTAATGGCGAAAACCAAATCCATCAAGAACTCCATTTTAACCTTTAATCCTCATCTTTTCCCCCATTTTCTCTATCTCTTCTCCCCCAAAATTCACCCCAGAAACCCCCATTTATCTTTAGCAACTTCCACACGCACGCTCTTCTTCTTCACTCTTTTGCTGGCTTCCATTCTATGTTTTGTTGCAATCAATCCGTTTCTAAACACACCGCAGGTCTCCATAATCGCTCATACGGCTTCCTACTCGCCTCTTTTTCTGGCTTCACTGTCCTCCGTCTTTCAAGATCCAAGTGCTGGTGATAACAACGATGCTCCTGTAAGTCTCTCCACCACTGCAATGGTGCCATTGCCACCTCGCTCCGTGGCCGGAATTTCGTCGGAGTTCTGGCAGCAGCCGGATGGAGAAGGATTCAGGCCGTGTTTGGATTTCAGTTTGAAGTATCGGAGGAGATCTCGTAAGATTGCTAATGAGAGGAAGAGGTTCTTAGTGGTTGTAGTTTCAGGAGGATTGTTTCAGATTAGGAATCAGATTGTTGATGCTGTTGTTATCGCCAGAATTCTCGAAGCTGCTCTGGTTTTGCCAGTTTTACAGGGAGACGAGAGGTAAACAGTAATCGTAACTCAGTTGATTTTAGGGTTTAGGAATTTATGATTTTGCTCTTAATTGTTGATTTAGGGTTCATAATTACTCTTCATATGGTTGTGTTCTTAATTGTTGAATCATGATTGTGCAGTGAATTTTCAGAAATTTTCGATGTAGAACACTTCAAGAAGATCTTAAAAGCTGACATTCGAGTAGTTTCATCTCTTCCATCTACACATTTAGTTTCATGGCAGTTATTAGAGAATCAAATTCCACACAACGTTCCTCCATTTTGGATCCGTGCAAGATTCTTCAAGAAAGTAAGGAGCGTCAACGCGATCTAATCAGTTTTAGTTCTTGGATCAAACCACCACTAACAACCTTCAAAATCTTCATGTTTTGCAGCTCAGTGAAGAAGGATCTCTGGTGTTAACAGGGTTAGAATCGAAGCTTTCTAAGAACCTCCCACCGGATCTTCAAAAGCTTCGATGCAAGGTGCTAAACACGATCACGTTTCCGAGTTTTTTTCAGGTTTCGTCATCATTCAATTCCCGTGATCACATTTTCTCATTGCAGGTTGCATTTCATGCGCTGAAATTCGCGACACCAATTCGAGAACTTGGTAACCGGATTGCAAGAAGAATGTGGATCGAAGGCCCGTATGTAGCCCTCCATCTCGGGCTCGAAAAGGACGTGTGGGTAAGAACCGGATGCCTCACAGGCTTAGGCCATGAATACGACATGATTATAAACGACGAACGGGAGTCTCATCCCGAGTTTCTTGCTACAAAATCAAACATAACTTGCCCACTCAACGCATTAGAAGCAGCCAGGTACACTTCCAGACCATTTTCTTGGCAATTTGCTCGAAAACCACTGTTTCTATCGATCCTAATTGCTAAAATTTGGAACAAAATGCAGGCTACTTAAAGATTTAGGGGCACCAGCGAATGCCCGAGTGTACATTGCAGGTGGAGAGCCATTTGGGGGCGATCGAGCCATTCTGCCATTGAAAAAGGAGTTCTACAACGTCGTGACAAAGGAGATGCTGGCTCGAGATGGCGAACTTAACCCCTACAGAAACCGAACTTCTATATTGGCGGCAATTGACTATATTGTATCACTAAGTAGCGATGTTTTTTTACCATCCTATGATGGCTACATGGTCCGAGCCTTGCAGGTATGTGTTTTCTTGATTTCTACATGTTTATGGCTTATTGTAAACTTGATTCGAAACCGTTTTGTGTTTCAAGGGTCATCGTGCATACGTGGGACACAGAAAATTCGTGACAACGAACATGAGTTTCAAGGGGCAGCCGGAGCCGAGGGCTAAGCGAAGGGATCGAGACGTGATAGCTTTTCCGGTACCCGAATGTATGTGTAAACATTAGGCATAGGCCAATTTTAGGCTGAATGTGGGTTTTCTTGAACCCATTTGGGTTAACGGATTCAAGGAAGTAAGAACTTTTTGTACTTTTTTACAATAAGATGGAATCATTAACGAAAACAAGTGTTTCCGTTGTCTTGTATGTGATGCACAAAATCCGCTTGAGTGATGTGACGAGTTCACCCAAATACAAGAAAGGTCATCGACTTCCTTTCTAGCCTCATCTGTTGAGTGAGTCAGTCAAAAAATATCCTTATTGGATAAGTGTTTATTGGCAAGAGAAATTACCATCACTTACCCTACCATGTAACATTATTGCCCATCAAAATAGATTGTTGATAAACGTCTCAAAACCTTGTAAGCGCTTACCGGGTAAGATTATCAGTCCTTGTTATGCCTTTTACTGGGTAAAAGTTTTGGTCCATGTCACGATGAATAGTTAAGATAAGTGATATCGATAAACATTTACCCGGTAAACATTTACTAAACGGACCCTTATTTGGCTACCAATAATTTCGGTTAGTATAAATGGGTAATTATACACCTACCATGATCATAAATCTATAAATTTGAAAACATGATGCAAAAATGCAAACAAATAAACAAGATTAATGTTTCAAATACTTTAATAATTAATTCGAAGTTACAAAATAGAAGCCGTAAACAAAAAAAATGAAATAACAGAACTAGAGTTTAGTTCTGTTCTTGAATTTTTTTTTCATAGGAACGGAAAGGAAGGGGAAAGTCAAAAAACTTATTTGAAAGAAAGAAAAGGAAAGCGAAGGAAATTAATGATAAATTTCTTCTCAAAAAGAAAAGAAAATGAAATAAATTAAAACTTTAAAAAAAAAATATTAAAATTACAAAATTACCCAATGTTTCATCCTAAATAATATATTTTTAAAGGGTATATTAATAAAAATATCATAATTTCTTTCATTTATTTCATGTTTAAGAACATGAAAAATTATTTTCTTTTACTTTTTTTTTTGAGACCCACAAATAAAAAAAGTATTTTCTTTTATTTATTTTCATTCCCTTTTTTTTTAGAGAGGGAGATAGAGAGAGGGAGGGGGAGGTGAGTTATTACGCAACCTTTTATATTTGTATAACCAATACAACTTAATCTCAATCATTCCTTTATTTCATAAAAGTTTTGATTGTTTCGTAATATAAAGTATTGATCATAATTAATGAACTCTAATTATCTTTCATAAATATTCAAATCATAATAAATGAACTCTCATCATTTCCATAAATATCTCAATTAATTGGATTTTATTAGTTGTACAAATATACATGGTTGCATTTGAAATATACCCCCCCACACACACACACATATACATATAATATATATATATATATATATACATAGAGAGAGAGTTTGTTTCAAATGCAACCTATCGCATTTTTACAAGCAATGCAACCTAATAAATTGAAATATTTATGGAAATGATGAGAGTTCATTTATTATGTWTTAAATATTTATGGAAGATGAATAAGGTTAATTAATTATGATCAATACTTTATATTAGAAAACAATCAAAACTTTCATATGAAATTACATATTCATCAAATTAAATGGACGGTTGAGATTGAGTTGTATTGGTTGTACAAATAATAGGTTGTATAATAACTCACCTCTCTTTATATATATATATATATATATATATATATACACATATATAGAGGTTGGTTATTATACAACCCTTGATATTTGTGCAACCAATACAACCCAATCTCAACCGTCCATTTCATTTGATGAATATGTGATTTCATAGAAGTTTTAATTGTTTCCTAATATAAAGTATTAATCATAATTAATAAACTCTATTCATATTCTATAATTATTCAAATCATAATAAATGAACTCTCATTTTTTCTATAAATATCTCATCTTTTCTATATATATATATATGGTCTTAATCAAATGAGAACTAATTAGTTTGTGGTAACTGTGAGAACCAATATTAACCACAAATCAATAGATAAATTAGGAAATTTATAATTTTGGCAATTTTGAATTAAAATATTAATGCAAGGATATTTTTGGTATTTTAAAACTTTCCTCCCTCCTCTCTTCTCTCCCGGCCACCGTCCGCCGGCCACCGTCCTCCGGTGATACTACAATGGTATCACAATGCATCATATATGTGCTTGGGTATCACATTGATGTCATTTGTGTGGTCGATCGAAGATGTAACACAGTGGTATCACTATGCATCTTATATATGATTAGGTATCACAATGTATCTTTTGTTTAACAGAGTCAATATTTTTAGGTATCACAATGGTATCATAGTGTTATCACCGGAGGACGGTGGCCGGAGAACGGTGGCCGGAGAGAGAAGAGAGGAGAGTTTTAAAATACCAAAAATATCCTTGCATTAAGATTTTAATTTAAAATTACCAAATTTATAAATTTCCTAATTTATCTATTGATTTGTGGTTAATATTGGTTCTCACATTTACCACAAACAACTCAGTTCTCCCTTGAATAGACCCATATATATATATTATATTTTCTTTTCTCTCCGTATTTGAAAACACAGCATAAATCTTGACAAAAAAGTTGAATTTAATTCACGGGATATGCATCCAAATCTAATTCTATAGGCATATTAAACCCCTTCTGTTTTTCGACGTCTACCCACTTATTTACTTCATATCGCCCCACCACCTTGACCTTTCTTTTGCCATTCATTTACACTCTAGCCTTTAACATATATAATGTAGCCCACTTTCATTAAGAGTTAATAAACGTGCAACAAGCAAAATGACAAAAATGCCCTTTTCGACGCCCATAAAAGAAAATCATGCTCGAAAGTTTAGCACGCAACAAATCATAAGAAAACGTGTGTGGGAAGGGTCGAATTTGGTGGAAGTCCGTATCAAGTCTGGTGGTATTCAACTCGAAGATAAGGTATAAATATCAACGAATTGTATTTATTTACGTATCGATCTTTTAAATAGCATGAAATTCTGTTTATGAAAAAGTAAATTGGGTTTAAAAATTGTTCAAAACGGAAGGAATATGGTATTTTTTAAAATAACCCAAATCCCGACTGGTATGTCCCAATATTAGACTTGTGGATGTAATTCATGTGAATGACACAATAATCCACGTTTGGACCTATTCCTATGTCAATGGGATGCATACATTGTGTGCCGTTTACCAAAACGCTTATCCGGGTAAACGCTTACAAAGTCATTTTAGTTTACCGGATGAATATGACAAAGGCTAAAAATCTTACCTGGTAAGAGCGAAAGCAAGAATCGAGAGTCTTACACGGTAAGTGAGAACGAAGACTCTTACCATGGCTAGCGCTTACCGGGATAAATTGTTGCATATGATGCGTTATAGTGAATAAAATCTTACCCGGTAAGTAAGCGATAGTGTTGAATTTTACAGGTAAGTGCTTACCGGGAAAGTGTTTAGATAAACGGCCCCTTAATGATCCCTGAAATTAACACCATCGTTTAACAACCACTATAAGAAACAAATTAGTTTTTAGACAAACTACAAGAACCAGAAGCGTAATTTACTCTAAACTTAATTGTGGTTCACATATATTTTTTAATTTAAATTTCTTTATTAAAAATATTTTGAAAAAGGTTAATAAAAAGATATTTTTATTATATCAATTTAATTGTTGCAGTTTATTTACGATTATTTAATAATTTAATTTAATAATATAAAATTTTATGAAGATAATAATTAAGTATTCTGTTATAACTCAATTATTATCCTAATTATATTTTAGATTTTTTATATTTAAAATGAGATGTTATCATATATTTGATCATTTTTATCTGAAGTTAGTTACACGAATTCATATAATGCAACTTTAATAAGGGGCTGTTTGTTTGGCTCTTAATGGTTACATTAAGAGCCAACCTCTTAATCTGTAAGAGGTTAAGTTTGTTTGGCAAAAAAAAACAACCCTCTTAATGGTTACAATAACCTCTTAACCATTTTGCATCCAATACCTCACTCAACCATTCAGATGTTCATTTTTCCAATTTTACCCTTCCCACCCCTTCTTCCCATCTCGTCTCTTCACGCAGGTCGCCATCGCCGGTCATCATCGCCGGTCGCCATAGCCATCGCCGGTCACCTCCACATCTTCGCCGGTTGTCGCCGGTCACCTCGCCATCGAGTTGCAAACCCTATCGATCGAAAAAGGGAAGGAAAAAGGATCGAATAGCAAAACCCTAACATCTCTGTTTTCGCCCCTGCTGTTTCTCCATCTCGATTGAGCCCTAACGGTGAAGGTAACACATCGCCGGTCTTCACAGCCCCTCCCCCACCCTCTCGTCGCCGGTCTTCACAGAGGGAACTTTCAGAGGAGATCGATTGAGGGAACGATG